TGTTATATTGTCTGGTTAAAACAAAACAGTTTTTTTTCTCTTGCCTGGTCAAAAAAAAAAAAAGCCTTACATTTGATACTCTTTTCTGGAATTATATTTTTTATTTTTGTTGTCCTGAATGTTAAATGTTTGTATGCTTCTGCAAATCAAGAGCACTTTATTATTAATTTTGTGAACGGTAATTAAACACTGTAAAAATTTAACCTTTCTTTGGCTCACTGAATTGTTTTCTTTATATTTGCATAATACAAATATACAAAATGTTTTTGTTTTGTTTTGTTATCCGAGGCCATAGTCTTATCAAAATAGTAGGTTTTTAATTACAGAATCTGCATCACAATACTTTCCATTATCAAGCAGACCAGAAATGCTCCTTGGCCATTTAATTCTTCAGTACTTGTAGGTATTTTACAATTATAGAATTTAGAATAAAAAAAAAAAAAAAAAAAAAAACTAGCAATCATAGCAATTTGAAAGGCAACAAAGATCAGAAGAGATAACAGAGTCGTGCTGCAGGAACTATTTATGTAAAAAAAATATATATATCACCGCTTCAGTAATGTGCTGACATTTACAGGCAATATGTACAGGTGCTGGTCAAAAAAAATTAGAATATCATGAAAAAGTAGATTGATTTCAGTAATTCCATTTAAAAAGTGAAACTTGTATATTATATTCATACATTACATACAAACTCATATATTTCAGATGTTTATTTTGTTTAATTTTGATGATTACAAATGACAACAAATGAAAATCTCAAATTCATCATATCAGAAAATTAGAATATTACTGAAGACCAATAAAAACAAAGGATTTATAGAAATGTTGGCCAACTGAAAAGTATGAACATGAAAAGTATGAGCATGTACAGCACTCAGTATTTAGTTGGGCCTCCTTTGGCCTGTATTACTGCAGCAATGCGGCGTGGCATGGAGTCGATCAGTCTGTGGCACTGCTCAGGTGTTATGATAGCCCAGGTTGCTCTAATAGTGGCTTTTAGCTCTTCTGAATTGTTGGGTCTGGTGTATTGCATCTTCTTCTTCACAATACCCCATAGATTTTCTATGGGGTTAAGGTCAGGAGAGTTTGCTGGCCAATTAAGAACAGGGATACCATGGTCCTTCAACCAGGTACTGGTAGCTTTGGCACTGTGTGCAGGTGCCAAGTCCTGTTGGAAAATGAAATCTGCATCTCCAAAAAGTTGGTCAGCTGCAGGAAGCATGAAGTGCTCTAAAACTTCCTGGTATGTGGCTGCGTTGACCCTGGACCTCAGAAAACACAATGGACCAACACCAGCAGATGACATGGCACCCCAAACCATCACTGACTGTGGAAACTTTACACTGGACTTCAAGCAACGTGGATGAAGTGCCTCTCTTCTTTTCCTCCAGACTCTGGGACCTTGATTTCCAAAGGAAATGCAAAATTTACTTTCATCAGAGAACATGACTTTGGACCACTCACCAGCAGTCCAGTCCTGTTTCTCTTTAGCCCAGGCAAGACGCTTCTGACGCTGTCTGTGGTTCAAGAGTGGCTTGACACAAGGAATGCGACAGCAGAAACCCATGTCTTTCATACGTCTGTGTGTGGTGGTTCTTGAAGCACTCACTCCAGCTGCAGTCCACTCTTTGTGAATCTCCCCCACATTTTTGAATGGGTTTTGTTTCACAATCCTCTCCAGGGTGCGGTTATCTCTCTTGCTTGTACACTTTTTTCGACCACATCTTTTCCTTCCCTTCGCCTCTCTATTAATGTGCTTGGACACTGAGCTCTGTGAACAGCCAGCCTCTTTAGCGATGACCTTTTGTGTCTTGCCCTCCTTGTGCAAGGTGTCGATAGTCGTCTTTTGGACAACTGTCAAGTCAGCAGTCTTCCCCATGATTGTGTAGCCTATAGAACTAGACTGAAAGACCATTTAAAGGCTTTTGCAGGTGGTTTGAGTTAATTAGCTGATTAGAGTGTGGCACCAGGGGCCATCAATTTTGAACCTTTTCACAATATTCTAATTTTCTGATATGATGAATTTGAGATTTTCATTTGTTGTCATTTGTAATCATCAAAATTAAACAAAATAAACATCTGAAATATATGAGTTTGTATGTAATGTATGAATATAATATACAAGTTTCACTTTTTAAATGGAATTACTGAAATCAATCTACTTTTTCATGATATTCTAATTTTATGACCAGCACCTGTAATTGATTGAAAAAAGCACTTTTCATCACATGCACCTACAGCATGTTACATTGAATTCAATGAAACTTGCAAAACAGGAAAAAGCTATTTAGGTATTGATGCTTTTTTTTTAATAGTTGATATTTCTGCATGCCTCTCGTTCATGTCATGCAATTCTTTTAAAATGGTTTTAATTATCGAATCTAAACATAAGTTTTTGTGTTGTGCATTCATTTTAACATTGCATTGACTGAAATGCTTGTGACATTAGTGGGAAAGCTGAAAGCAGGTTCATACAAGTTTGAAGTTTGCTATAAATACAACATTACACCTTTTTCAAGAAATTAATAATGAAAGTCTGATTTTAAACTTGTTTCTTAAATACAATGGCATGTTTAGTTTTCAATTATTTAACAGTGATAGTGTCATTGAGATTAAAAAACTCTTTTTCAAAGGAGTCCTTGAACAAATAAAACACAAGTTACATAGTTAAAAGAAGTCTGAAAAACAGATGCATGTTATTGAGGATTCAATGATATGTTATTTCAAGGTTTTCTGAAGAAGGCAGGAGGAAGGAGCTGAGTAAACGGAAGCCTTTTTTCTGAATTTAATCTACCGTAAGCCAAAGGTACAAAAATAAGCAGGAAGTGTGTGTGAGAGAAATATCTACAAGTTAACACTTCTCTGTGCAGTTATAGTAAAGATCTAGACTGATAGTAGTCCAAGCAATGCCTTGTATATAGAAGTTAACCAATGGGAATTATTTTAAGCAGCCAAACTAGGTCAACCCATCCACGACCATAAGGGTGTGATTACTTTTTTTAGTTTTTAATAAACCTCAGACTAGAGATATAAACACTGTTCTTTAAAAGGGAGTTCCTGCTGAAGTCAAAGGCAAAATAATCTGCTTATTGTTAGAGAAAACAAAGACTCTAAATACATCGCTTAGAGACAGCTGTTATCTAAAGAAGCTTCACACATCATTTCAACACTGAATGACTTTTTATCCACGTGTTTTATCCATATATTATACTGATACGGATCTCTCTCTCTCTCTCTCTCTCTCTCTCTCTCTCTCTCTCTCTGTCTCTCTCTCTCTCTCTATTATATATATATATATATATATATGCTTATAAAGTATTATTTTTTAACTTCATACCTCTTTTTTTTAGCAACTTCAAACATCTCTGTACTTTAACAACAAGAAAAAAACAATCACAACTACATAATTATATTACAACTCACCTGTCCAACCACTCTCGCCAAAATGGTGCAGATTTCGGATATGTAGTCCTTTTACTTATTTAGTTCACTGATTAGTAAACATTTTAAAAACTTAAATTATTTTCCATTTTAGACCACATAAAGTAACTGCTTAGGTTATTTGTCGAACAACTAGTTACTTATATCGACAAAATATCCATTGTTCCTTTTTATAGGGGCCGAGCTAGATGAGGGGCCAGGGGTGGCAATGGGCACCCTTAGCCAATCATTAGCCACCCCTACCATTTATTTCCCTCTAATACAGATGGTGGCAACAGTAATAATCTCAAGTGGAATATTCAAAACATTTAAATTTTTCATATATTAGCAATTAGTTGACAACAAAAACACTGTGGTTAATTATGCACATCAATATACTAGCATTAAAAATTATAAGTACAGAATTCAAGCAGAAATAGATTTTGTGTTTTATGGGGTAAAGAGAAAATGATGTGTCTCTGCAAGTGATTTAGGAGTCTTCAGTGAAATCATAGATAAATAACTATTTCAATAAAAACTTATCAAATAATCAATTTATGTAGATATTAGTGCTTGTAACTATTAATTTTATGCAGAATGATTATTAATAAAAGTAGGTAAGTAATGACAATGGAAAAGATGTTTGCCCCCAAAAAAACTGAAATTATTTTATCCACTATACATTTTATTTAGAATGCAGGGATGTTTGAATATATGCATCTATTTGTTAGAAAAGGCTGTAGGAAAGTATAGTTTGTCTTTATTTAGAAAATATGGATGTTTTGCTGGTTAATTTTCCTTTTGATACAGTGTAGATTTACCGTGAGGTTCTGGCACCTATCCACTTTCTGCCACCCCTCAGTGTACATTGGTTATTGCCTGGCGACCCTTATAAAAAATGTATGGCTACGCCTCTGCCTATTTTGAAAAGTACGTGTAACTATTTACACTTTTAAGTTTTAAGCATCCATCTGAATGTGCAAAATATCCATTTAGATTAATTAAATATCCCAATAAATACTGATTAATAAAATAACATATTCTCAGCGAACAACCAAATATGATTATATGCATTTTAAAATGCATTAGTGATAATGCTAGTGATTGCGCGCGATAAAGGTAAGGCAAAGCAAGGCAAATTTATTTGTATAGCACAATTCAGTACAAAGACAATGCAAAGTGCTTTACATGATTAAAATACAGGAAGATAAAACAGAATCAAAGCAAGTAGGAAAAAATAAGAAATAAAAAAAATGCAGAAACAACAAAAGAATATTAAAAACAGTTGGAAGTTTTTGTTAGATTACATTTATTTATTTGATGATTTTTTTTTATAGGTATGGAAAGGTATGGAAAGTTTTAAAAAATTTAATTCAGAATACTTTAAATTTCTTTTTCGCGTTTATTATCTCTGCATTCTACAGCTTCTGTGACTTTGTTGATTATATATTGTTTCTTTTTGCTACATTCCAACATCATATCCTTTGGAAAGAAAAATTAGTTTACTCTAAACCTCGGAATGATCATATACGCGTCTTATTCTAAGCGGAACCTTTTATTAGACATGCTTGTATCTACCCGGGGACATCTAAACTCCCCACAAGTGGCGTTTGTTGTACGTTACCTAATCGTTTGAGTGATGTCTGTCAGCTTAAACCAGTGGTTGCTTTTTGACATTAAAGAAAATGTCTAAAGCGGGTTTAAAGTGTCCGAACTGCGGCTCCTCCAACATCGTGAACGATGACCTGTACTCACAGGCGCAGCTGGTTTGTGTGGAATGCGGCGCGGTGGTTTCTGAGGGGAGTTTGGCTGATGACCCTCTGTGGGGTACAGGTAGGAAGAGGACACTTTCTTCAAAATCCTATTAGTTTCACAGTTCAAACAAGTAAATCTCAGGGAAAGAGTGTTATTAAAGAAAAATTCATGGAAAAATGGCACACAAAAAAAACAAGGGGATGACGGAAAAACCAGGAAGATTGTTTAAAAAAAAATTCAGAAGATAGTAGGAAAAAGAAGAAATGGAAAACGAAATAGAAAGGAGGAGAGAATGATAACAAGGTTAAGATTTGGGCAAACAGGACTTAATTATACACTTTTCAACATTCAAAAACATACTACTGGCAAATGTGATTACTGTGGAAAATATGAAACAATAGAACATGTCATACTGGAATGTCATAAATGTATATGAAAACGAGAGAAGATCAATGAGAAAGTTTGAATTTATTAATTAAAGGATTAATTTAGTAGATATTTTGAGGAATAGTTAAGGGAGTAAACTTATACAAATAATTATTCGATTTTTAAAGAAAACTAAATTATTTCATAGCATTTGATTATAGAGAGGGTGAATGTGTGTCTAATATAGTACGTAGTTTTTTTGTTTGTTTTTTGGGTGTTTTGTTTTTTTGTTTTTGTTTTTAGTTGTCTTTTGTTTGTTTATTAGGAGTGTAAATAATAATGGGTTTTGTGTCAATGCTTCGATCCAACAGCCGACGATCCGATACATCGACACGTCTGCAAGAGTATCGATTCATGTTTTTTTTCCCGTAAATTTTCTTATCCATTTGCTCCTGGACGTAATTGTGACTCCCGTGCTGAGGTGGCGCTAACCCTATTTTGCCCTCCTACCTCACTTCCTTTAGCCACTACCCTCTTTCCGCATGCACACACGGTCGCATAAACAGTTTACACATGATGTATTCTTGAGTATCAAAAATAATCAAATCGTTAGGTCAGAAAATCAATACTGAATCAAATCACCATGATGGGTGGGATTTACACTCCTAATGTTTATATATAAGAAGATAGTCCATCACGAACCACACTCCATAAGAGTAAGTGGTGGTAATGATACTAAATGTTTGTTGCCAACTGCCAATAAATCCAAGAAGAAGAAGAGGACACTTTCACCACTGATTGATCTGCCAGGCTTTTTACTTTATTCTGATCTCAGACAACCTAAGGTTACCATTAATGGACCAACATTACCTGAAAGCATCTATTGAGAGGCCTAATTTGCAGTTGCGTCCTGCACATTAATTAACATCACAATAATTCAGATAAAGGCTGGAAAATAATCCTCATAGAGAGCAGGAACAGTCTGCTACCCTAGTTTCATATCTGTTTTTAATGTTTTGCAACCCATTAGTTAAATGGCAGGGATGCAAATTTATGTTTCATAAACCTCAATGGTTTATTTGATCTTGTGTCTCCTCTTGGGGTTAACTTTGCAACCACTCCACTGATCATACATGCATACAGCTATATGCCAAAATCATCTGTATTAAGACAATAAAAGACCTGAAATATTTCAGTTGGTGTGCAATGAATCTAAAATATATGAATGTTCAAGTTTTATCATTACATTATGGAAAATAATGAACTTTATCACAATATGCACATTTTTTGAGAAGGACCTGTTTAAGAGGGCCAGGATTCCAATCCATGCCTGCTTTGCACAAGGAACCAGTACTGTCCAAAAATGAGCTGTTTGGTTTAATTCAGCATTTTTAGCTGAATACCTAACAGGTAAACTCTGGTATTTGTCTAGATTTAATGTTGATGATATCTCTTTTATTCTCTATAGATGTCAGCTACAGCAGGACCACAGCGGTGAAAAAAAACCCCTGCCTCAATCTGATAAAAGGTGAGCTCTTCTCCCCCAAAGCAGATACTTTATACTGTGCAAAAGCCTTCAGCCACATTCTCCCTAAAGGCCACATGCCTGCTTTTAATCTTTTGAAGTGGCCTTTGCAATATTTCTTCAGGCTTTCTGAAGGCTCCTCAAACTTTTCCAACTGCAAACTTGATAGACTAAAGATATTTTTCTGTGATCTGTTGTTTCATGTCTGTGCAAGATACTTTTTTCATTTTCTTTTCAACGTGAAGTTACGTTTTTTTTTTTTTTTTTTTCTTTAGCCCTGAAGGTTTTGGTCCTTTTTATTCAGTTTTCTTAAAACTTTAAAACAACAAAACAGCAAGCAGTGGTGGAACATGCAGTGCTTTCTGTGAAATGTTTTTTTCTTAATCTAGGAATTGGTTCTAGTTGATGTGCATTTCAATAACTAGTGATCTTATTGAATTTTTTCTGTGTTACATGCATTACGGAAATGCTATAGATATTAGTTGAAAGTTGTTCTTTGTGAACAAGATGACACCTGATCAAAGAATATTTTAAAAGTAATGATTTTGGAACAAATCAGTCCATCCTTGAGTTCTATATTTCATTTTTTATGTTTAGTTAGTAAGGCTGGTAAGGCCTTTCATAACTTTTCAAGTTACACAGACAGACATACAAGCTCTCCTAAAAACATAAACTCCTCGGTGGAGGTAAAAATAGAAAATAATAGGGTTAGTGTAACAATTAAGAAGAAATTCTTCAGCCCATGGTCATAAGAAAATAAATGTCTAATTAATAACTATACATTATTTGAATAAAATAGTATGTTTTAATTTAGGGCTGAAACAATCAACTAATTTTGTAATTGATAAATCGTTAACTGAAGTTTAGAGACTCTAAAACATGCCCAGTAATTATACCAGACCAATAATTATACCAAACTTGCAAAAAAATGATGTGAATATTTTGCGTTTAAGAAAAAAAATCTTTACGTTCGTCAAAATTCTCTACCGAAAACTCCTCCACTGGAAAGTTTTAGTTTCACCTGGTTTCATTTCGTAAAAAAAAAATATTTAAGAAACCTTTTCCTATCCGATTATTAATCGATTAATCGGAAAAATTATCGACACATTAATCGATTTGCAAAATAATCATTAGTTGCAGCCCTGGTTTATTTTTTATTATTTAGATTTTTTTTTTTTATTAATTTGATGTGTGCATCTAAAGTTCCTTTTTTTTGTGCTCCATATATAAATGTTGCTTATTTTTAATGTAGCCTGCTGAATTTGTGGCACTTGTTGCCTTCAATACTTGCTGCAGTCCACATCCTATAGGCTGTTGCTTTTAAGACATGTTTAAATTTGAGTTCAAAATGTTTTAGTCAGAACTCTTCTGCAGGAAATCCTCCCTGGTTTCTGCAGGATGATTAGCGTTCTATAATGAGTCACAGCATATGCTTTAACAATGACCACTCGCCTCCAGTCTATCCCTGCAGGTGCGGCGGTGGACGCACTTGGTAGTCACGCCAGTCTTAAGCACATTGCAACCTTAAAACGATACTTATTGGACCGGTTATACAGTAATTGTAACTTCATTTTAGTTTGATATCAGATCAGAGGCACAGAAAGCGGCCTGTCTGCAGGCAAAAGCCAAGCTATACCTGCGGATAGAGTTGTGCATGAACAGCATTCACTGAATATGTAAGTCTTTTTAGTGAATGGTGAACTGAACGGATCAGTTGTGAACTGATGAACGTGAACGAGAGCGACATTCAGTCTGAGAACAAACACAGCTAACGTTCGTGTTCAATTAATAACGACCCTTTTCATTGGAAAAAGTCAGGTTTTACGCATTTATTAAAGTAAACAGCATGACAGACCAACATGTCTACTGCTAGTTCTAGTTTGCACAATTCAGTCTCATCTACTGGTATTTCTGATGCCGGTTTTGCAGAGCACTTTATATGGAGCTAGTTAATTTTCATCTGTGAACTGAACTTTGAGCTCATTCTTTTTTAATTATGAACTGGCACAAAATTGTCTGTGAGTTCTTCAGCTGTGAGTCGCTGTACCATTTCTTTGTGGAAGATAAATTCAAACCAAAAGTGGAGAGACATTTTTACAGGCTCTATATTTTCTGTGGTTACTTTAACAACTGACCTTATTGTATTATTACCTTAACAGCTGTAATATTTCCACAGCTTTAGTCTGGACTGGGCTTGAAATAAAATCAGGCCTTATGTTGAGACCAAGACAAGACTGAGACCATCAAAAAATGGTCTGGAGACCAGTCTCGACAACTACATCACTTCTGGGTTTTTTTTTTTTTTTTTTTTTCCAACAGTAAACTTTCTTGTTTTTTTATCTTTTGTTTACGTCAAGGTCTGGAGCGGGTGAAAGAAATATGTCGGATCCTCAGGCTCAACGCTGAAATCGAGCATCTAGCACAGACGTATTTCAGAACCGCCTACCAGCACGAGAGCTTCATCAATGTGACCCTCCAGAGGAAGGAGGTGCTGGCTGGCTGCTGTGTCTGCATCAGCTGCAGACAGCGGAATTGGCCGATCACTCTAGGAACCATCTGCTGCGTGCTAAATGCTGAAGAGACACTGTTAGGAGGCGTTTATCAGGAAATGCTCAAGATCCTTAACATCCAGGCTCCGTTTGTCAGTGTGGTAGAAGTCATAGAAACACACGTTCATGAGTAAGTAGTCTCAAAGTTTATATACATGCTCATTTAAAATTGTTAGGAATATGAAACAAAAGGTAAAACTTTGTCATAGCAATAGTGCTGTTCACACTGGATTAAGGTCACTCTGCAACATGGCTATCCTGCCATGTACTGGAGCAATCCCTGTTAAAAATGAAACAATCAATTTATATGAGGTAGCCTGTTCCACATCTGTTGGGATGTTTTTGTTTTTCCCCTTCCTAATGGCAACAGTTAGGTTCCTCAGTTAAGGTTTATAGGATAAACGGGTTCCTTCCTTTGGCTAAAAGAATCTCAACTTATCAGCACTGAATAGCTACTAGCTTGGCGCATACAGATGTCACACAGCCTTTAAGCTCCGTCTTATTCCCTGTCCATTGGGCTCCCAGCTTGGTAGTAGCACGCAACCTCCAAATTGTGCATAGGCGTGGCTGGGTTGGATGCAGGAGAACCAAAGAAGAAACTGAGTTTTTGAGACTGCTGTGTAATTTAGAATATAAATGATATCCTGGTCTCTCTGTTGAACATAATAGGTTACCAGGGTGTGAGAATTTAATCAGTAATCCCTAGAATGCAGCCAAAGTAAGTCACTCACAGGGCATTTTTTGGCTGTTGATTGGTAGGCCTTTAAAGTAATTTCATATATCAAAAGTTTTACAATTCCTGGTGTGAGGAGAGGTTTAAATGCACTTAAAATTATTTTTAGTCAAAGATATTTCAGGGTGATATTGTCTCATTTCAAAGTTAATAATACAAACTTCTCAGGCCTCAGTTTTACTTATTGGCTTAAATTTAGAAATCTTAGACCAAAAAAAAAACTTTATTAAAATTCCTTTTTTCTTCCTGACAGGTACAAAATAAGCAAACAAGATGTCCCAGAAGACTTTGCTGAGGATCCTAAGGTGTTGACTAAACGGGCAGTGGAGCTGGTGGAGCTGGCCGGAGAGTCCTGGATCGTGACCGGACGAAGGCCCCTTCCGCTCATGATGGCAGCTACGTATTTGGCCTGGCAGTCCTTGAACCCCAACAGACATCGCCTCAAGTTCTCCCTGGACAAATTCTGTAATATGGCCAAAGTGCGAAAGCGCAGAGCAGCTGCAACTAGAATAACTGAGCTGAAGGAGGTGCTTTGTAGGCTTGGAAAGGAGCTTCCCTGGGTTACGGAAGCGGTGACAGAAAGCGATGTTGTTCCCCTTGTGGGGGATATTCTAAAGTACAGGCATAGCCTGCTAGCGAGGGCTCTGAAAACCCATGAGAAGGCTTTGGAAGCCAATTGCGCTCAGACGAGCACTTTGAACCATCCAACAGATGAGGTGGTGCCAACTCAACATTCCGAAAGCAGGAATGAAAACGAAAGTACTTCCTCTGTGGTGCAGCTCTCTCCCAGTAACAAAGGGGAAAACCAAGGAGATAAAAACGATGATCAGAGTGAAGAACCAGTACCAAACTGGGGTAAAAAGGTCCTGTTTGCTCCTCCGTGTGTGATTAATGCCAAGAGGAGAAGGGTCGAGCGGCGTGTCGAGAACTGTACCGGCGATGAGGAAATCTCTGACGGTGAGATCGATTCCTACATCCGCTCTCCACAAGAAGCTCGAGACTTTGCCCTCATGCAGAAGATGCTGTCTTTGCCCAACAGTGAGAATTCATAGCTAACCTGCCCTTCAATAAGGAGGAAACTTTCACTATGTTATTGAGCTATTTTTTTTTGCATCGCATGTTCTATACAACTAAACATGCAACTTTCGTATCTGTTATAGACTCTACCTTTGTTCTTTTTATTTAATCTGAATAAAACAAGATGCCCTCAAGTTTTCCCAATCTCTGCATTCCTCTATTTTTGCTTAGAATCGACATTGAGGCTATTTGCACATATTAACAGTTGGAAATATAATTTTTTTTACATAAGCTTCTTATTTCTTTGACTAGGGTATTCGTTAGTACAAGATAATTCCCGTAGAGAACTTTTATTTTAAAAAATTACTAAATACGGGCAGAAAAAAATCTCAACTCCAGTGTTTTTTTTTTTTTAGGTAGTAGTATACTGCATTTTAAGCAGAAGTTGTTGATGTTTTTTACAGTTAATGTTTTATTGTTTCCTGTCACTCGATAAGCCCTGGTGTGGTGGATTTTCTAAAACTTCAACTTGAAATCTATTTTCATGAAATGAACTTTAGGGAGCTCTGTAAATCCAAGTTACTTTCCTGAAAAGATTTAGAATGGGTCAAAATGCAGAGAACAAATTTTACCTATTGTGGGATTTTCATATATATGGTGAATGGGTAAAAAAAAATCTGGACAAAATTGTTGGTACTCTTATAATGAATGAAAACTCCACAGAAATAACTGTACTGTACTTAAGTACACTTTTTAGGGATCTATACTTTACTCCATTACTTATTTTTCTTCCTTTTTCTGACTTCTACTCATTACATTTTCACACATGTATCTGTACTTTCTATTCCTTACATTTTTAAAACAAACATTACTCGTTACTCTTGGCTTTGGTTTAATGTTCCACATCTACTGAAAACTAGTGTAATTGGACGAGTCATATAACAAAAACACTCAGGGCCGGATTTATCAAGATCCAATTTTGCGTGCAGTAATTTGCACTTGCAAACTGGAATTTTGCGCGAGGGGCTGAACCATGGTTTGCGGGTGATTTAACAAGAGTGATTGCGTAACTGGTGGAAGGTGCAAAACTGTTGGAGACGCCCTATTTAAATGATGGTTTTGCGCGTTTTGTGGTTTGCGGCAAAGTAGTTTATAGTCTGTACAAACTAGTGCATTAAGAAATTTAAATCTTACAGTGACCCCCAACAAAAAAAATAAATAAGTAAATATATATATATATATATATATATATATATATATATATACACTCACCGGCCACTTTATTAGGTACCCCATGCTAGTAACGGGTTGGACCCCCTTTTGCCTTCAGAACTGCCTCAATTCTTGGTGGCATAGATTCAACAAGGTGCTGGAAGCATTCCTCAGGGAGTTTGATCCATATTGACATGATGGCATTACACAGTTGCCGCAGATTTGTCGGCTGCACATCCATGATGCGAATCTCCCGTTCCACCACATCCCAAAGATGCTCTATTGGATTGAGATCTGGTGACTGTGGAGGCCATTTGAGTACAGTGAACTCATTGTCATGTTCAAGAAACCAGTCTGAGATGATTCCAGCTTTATGACATGGCGCATTATCCTGCTGAAAGTAGCCATCAGAAGTTGGGTACATTGTGGTCATAAAGGGATGGACATGGTCAGCAACAATACTCAGGTAGGCTGTGGCGTTGCAACGATGCTCAATTGGTACCAAGGGGCCCAAAGAGTGCCAAGAAAATATTCCCCACACCATGACACCACCACCACCAGCCTGAACCGTTGAGACAAGGCAGGATGGATCCATGCTTTCATGTTGTAGACGCCAAATTCTGACCCTACCATCCGAATGTTGCAGCAGAAATCGAGACTCATCAGACCAGGCAGCGTTTTTCCAATCTTCTATTGTCCAATTTCGATGAGCTTGTGCAAATTGTAGCCTCAGTTTCCTGTTCTTAGCTGAAAGGAGTGGCACCCGGTGTGGTCTTCTGCTGCTGTAGCCCATCTGCCTCAAAGTTCGACGTACTGTGCGTTCAGAGATGCTCTTCTGCCCACCTTGGTTGTAACGGGTGGTTATTTGAGTCACTGCTGCCCTTCTATCAGCTCCAACCAGTCTGGCCATTCTCCTCTGACCTCTGGCATCAACAAGGCATTTCTGCCCACATAACTGCCACTCACTGGATGTTTTTTCTTTTTCGGACCATTCTCTGTAAACCCTAGAGATGGTTGTGCGTGAAAATCCCAGTAGATCAGCAGTTTCTGAAATACTCAGACCAGCCCTTCTGGCACCAACAATCGTGCCACGTTCAAAGTCACTCAAATCACCTTTCTTCCCCATACTGATGCTCGGTTTGAACTGCAGGAGATTGTCTTGACCATGTCTACATGCCTAAATGCACTGAGTTGCCGCCATGTGATTGGCTGCTTAGACATTAAGTGTTAACGAGCAGTTGGACAGGTGTACCTAATAAAGTGGCCGGTGAGTGTATATATATATATATATATATATTTAATATTTATAAATTGGCAACCTTTATTCCCTAAGGTGGTATGTGCTGCAGTAAAAAAAAAAAAAAAAAAAAAAAAAAAGGTGTTTTGTATTGGCCTGTGACTGTGGATGAGATCCCCGCAGCATTTGGCACGTTGCTCCACAGGCGCAGGGGGAGAACCCCGACCCCGTCGGACAGCACTTCTGAAAAAACGAGATTGGGAGATCCCAGCTCTCGCTGCAACCGTACGCTGGAATGACCCAGATGCAAAAAAGTGCAATGTTGCAAGGAGTTTAGTGATATCTGGTATTGCGTGGGTCCTCCTTGTGGCTGGCTCCAAATCCATTCAGAGTTCCCCCAACAGCTCCAAAATGGCAATGCTGGATAAACGATATGTTTTGATGATCGTTTCCTCGTTCATTGCAAAAATATTCACACGGAGTGAAAAAATGCGTTCTCTGCGTCTCCTTGTTTTATTTCCATGTCTCCTTCTTGCGACAATAACCGCTGCCATGTGTGCGCAATTACGCATACAGACCATTTGCACCTTCTTTTGAAACGTGTTAAATATAGAGTCAGATACCGTTAGCAAAATTGCTTTCAAGTTTGATAAATCACTTTGCGAGTGCTAAATTAATATATTTACATGTTCTCCTCCCACAAGACCCACTTTAGCGTGTAAACGCCCCATATTGCATATTCATTGCAGAAAAAGTACTAAATGGATCAGAGGCGCTATTTAGCACGTTTTAAAGACCAAATGCTTTTAGCACGCTGTTGATAGATCAGTTTGTACATTTTTTAGCGTGCGCAGTGAAATAGCTCACGTTTTTATACGCGCAAACATTTGATAGATCCGGCCCTCATTGTTTAGCTTTTCGTCAAATTTGTGCTGATGCCAAAGAAAATCATCAGAAGCAAGCAGGTGTTCAAACAGCAAACGAGAATTGTCTATGCCATGCTACAATGTGGGATTCAGAAAAAGATGTCTGAATGTCTGAAAGGTTAGACATACGAGAGAGAATATAGGGAGATTGAGACGGAGACTAACAAGACCGAATTAGTCTAAAAATTGAGCTTTCAATTCATATAGTGGCATCTGGCTGCTTTTTTTTAAAGGTTATTTTATACTTCTAAATTTTAAGTAGTTTTTGGAGCACATGCTTTTTCACATTTACTTGAGTAAAGAGGCCAAATTGATACTTCAACTTTAACCAGAGAGTTTTTTTTTAATTGCAGTATCTATACTTCTTAAGTACCAAATATATGTACTTTTGACACCACTGGTAATAAGTTCTAAAAGTGAAAATGAACAAATTAAACTCACACATAGCTTTTTAATAATTCAACAGACTGATACAAAAAAAAAAAAAAAAAACTCATGAAAAAGACCTGGACAAAAATAATGGTACCTTTTGAAAAGACAGAAAATAATGTGACCAAAGGGATTTGTTAAATCAAGGTGTGTCCACTAATTGCCATTTCTACAAACTGGTAATAAGTTAGTGGGCCTATCTAGGGCTGCAGGTAGTCAATATGCGGTTTGGTGACATATAAATATATATGACTGCTGTGCTTTTAATTCCCCTACTCGAATATATACATTTTTCATATATACAGTTTTAAATTAGTGGTGCAATATATGGTATGTGTAACCAATATTATACTGTTATCACCTCTGTTACTCACCACCCTTGTAAGGAAATATAAAAAAGCTGGCAATGACTTCTATTTAATTAAAATTCACAAACTGACTTTTATATGCTTTGGCTTGATTCACATAAAAAGTACATCTGAATCAAAACAGGATTTACTTGGCTAAATAAAACTTTAATTTACAGTATATACAAGCCTAAAAAAATGCAATATACATGTAGTTTATCTGTGAAGTTTATAAAGCTTTTACTCATTCTTAATACCTTTAAATTGTAGCAATAAAAAAATTCCATGTACTATTTGTTAATCATATTCTAAAACCTGACATTTTTTTGTAAAAAAAAAAAGAAAAAGTTTGTTTTACAGAAGTCAGTTTTTGTCCTTAAATTTCTTAAAGTGGAACTAGACCTCTCATTAAGCTGTTGTGCAATGCTAGCATTTTTCATTCTCTCTAAAGAACAAATATTACGTAATGTACAGCACTTAGCTGCATTAGGGGGCATTGCTTTTTGTCATATTCCCCTCTTTTCCACTTTTTTCTGTTTTCAGTCTCTTGCTCTATAACAAGCTAAACCCGGCGTTGGAGCAACCTTTAGTGATTCTCTGCACTGCTGTGACAGACAACCTCAGAAAAGCAAGGAAAAGCAAACACAGATATTTTGTCTTCCACATCAATGTTTTCCTGTCTCAAGGAACAATAATGCAGATAGCCAAAGCCTCAAGAATGATATGAATTGTTTATGTAAATAATCAGGTGTGACCCAAACCACGCCTTTGGTTCCATCCCTCACTAATCTTGGAGTGGGCCAGGAACCAGGTGACCGGGAAATTTCCTGGTGCTAAAGATGGCCTGTCTTCCCCTGGTTACGGGTCAAGGGAAACTTTGTTTTTTACTGCTGCCCGTCTTGACCACAACAAGATATTTCCTGATATAAATTGGTTTAGATAAATAAATAAAAAGACACTGACTTTAAGACTAACCACAGATTTAGTTAATTTAATTATAAACGAAAAATAACGAAGTGTGACTGCTGTAGCAATAGATGTAATCC